GACTTGAGGTTGAACACAGAGGATGGACACAAGAGTGTAAGATGTTTGGGCTGCTCGTGAACATACATCACAGACCTTCCCCTTGGAAAGAGGAATTAAAAGGTCAATGGACGGCTGGCTTGGCTGGTGGGTATTAGCCAGTTTCTGCTCTCAGCCACCCAGTTCCAGAGCAGCGGCATGTGGAGTGGCCATGGTAGCAGAGCTGGAGACTGTGCTTGGGATCCCACTCACCAAGACTGACATGGCTACCACTGCTGTCAGCAACAAAACCAACGCTGGGTCCCTGCTATGGCAAAATCCCTGAGGAGAAACCAGCCTCTTGGTGGCAAATTGTTTACATCAGACTCCTTCCTTCTTGGAAAGGGTAGCAATTCATCTTGACTGGGTAGGGCTGACATATATTCCATATATAAGCCTGCAAGTCTTGGCCAGCATCATTATCTGAGGAGTCACAGAATCCTGATTAGCCAAGGTGAAATCCCACATAACATCACCTAAGACCAAGATACCCAATTCATAGCAAAGGAAATACAGCAGGAGGCACATAACAATGGCATCCACTGGACCTACCACGAGCTGCAGCATGCAGAAGCCGGTAGCCTGCCAGATCTGAGGAGGCTTCTTAAAGATGCCCACTGAGGCATCAGCTCAGAGAAGAATCCCTGTGAGGATAGAGCACCATCCTTCAGGATGCAGTATGTTCCATAAACCAACAGTTATTGTCATAGTGCTGTGTCGCCGGTAGGTAGAATACACTGGTCTGAGAAACAAGGGATAGAAGTAGAAGTAGCCCACTTACCATCATTTCCAGTAACCCACTTCTGAATATCTTATTTCGTTAACTTTAGACCCAGTGGGTCTAGGAGTTCTGATGCCCAAGGAAGAATTCTTCCACTTGGGAATACAATGAAAATCCCACTAAATATAGCTATAACTGCTGCCCAGTCATGTTGGTGTCCTCATGTCAAGGCCAAAAGGCAAGGCCAGGGGTCATCTTGATAGAAGGGCTGCTGGTCCTGAACTGGTCCTGATCCTCAGCAGGGAAACCCACAGTCAATGACTGACTGATGCAGAGACATAAAAGACTGACTCCTTTGCTTAATGGGACAACTCGGTGCCAGTTATCCCCAGATCCTCCCACTGTGCTCCGGCCCCTGTGCAGTACCTAATATCACATCTTTGCTTGGTGTTCTCCTTTAGTATCCTGCTTTACTGCCTCCCAACTTCCCCCTCAATAAATCATATCCAAGACTCTCCAAATCCCTGTCTCAGGCTCCGCTTTTAGAGAACTCTAGCTAAGATAGAAGTGGAGCAAAATAAACCAGGGAAAAGAAACAGGGAATGGGTGGGAAGAAGAAGGGAAGGGGGCTTTATCTTGAAATAGGAAGGTTAGGAAAGTCTTCCCTGGGAAGGTAACCTTTGACAAGAGATGTGAACATGGGGAAATAAACCATCAGGCTGCTAGAGAGAAAAGCTTTCCGGGTGAAAAACATAGGGTGCATCATCTGGCACAGGAATGGGTCTGGGGAGCTCCAATAAGAGTGCAGAGTATGGCTGGAGTGGGGTGAGGCAGGGAAAGAAGGCCAGGGATGTCAGATTTCTCAAGTTCCCAAAGATCACGTACGGCCTTGAATGCCGTTGAAAAGATGCTTGCTTTAACTCTGAAAGAGGTAGGAAACCGTGAGGAGGTTTTGAGCAGGGGAGAGATGTGATCTGACTTTGCTTTACTAGAACTACCCTGGCTGCAAAAGTGGAAGCCAGGCTGCCTGAGTTTCTGCAGGCAGAAAGTAAATGACGGTCACAGCAATTAGAACCCCAGGCCCAACTGACCTCAGAACCTGTTCTCATGTACTTGTATTTGTCAGTGGAGCACACAGTGCATGTCTGGCACATATGTTGAAATCACACGCACTGAATGCTGAGGATGGACACAACACACAGAGACTGGCTCCATCTCTTTAAAGGGAAAATATAAACATTTATAATGAGACTAGGCACCCCTTCAGTTTCCCTTGGGGGAAGTCTTCAATACTACATACTACAACTGATTAGGAGAAAAGCCCATACTTGCCATAAGATCCAGAGGTTGCTGGCTACACTGTGGTCCAAGTGAATCCCTAAGCCTAAATGAGTCATTAAGTTTAAAGTCAGTAAGTGAGAAGAGCAAAGACACTTAGTTAAAGAGGTCACATAGTGTAACGAGTGAGAATGGTGGGCATAGAATGTCTGGTCTGAAACCCAGCTCTGCCACTTACAGGCTGTGTGACCTTGGACAACTTACTTAACCTCACTGTGCCTCAGCTTTCGCATCTGTAAAATGGTTAACTGTAATATCCCCTACCCCTTAGGATTTAATAGAAGTAAATGAGTTTACAGTGCCTGGAGCATATAATGTTTGCCATTATCATTTTATTATACATAAACAATTAGAGGACACCCATATGTCATGTAAGTTGAATAAATCTACATGTCAATTTCTAGATATTAACTCCCAAATTTAATGCCTTCTATTTCATCTGTTCCAATACTGGACTAAAAATGAATGTATTCTTTCTTCCTATGCTTCTGAAATATTGTTGTACTTTTAGCTGATTAAATTGTTCAGCTGCTTTTTATCAATGACTCTTCCCCAGGAAGGCTAATAATGCCTGACTGTAATCAGCCCCATGTGTGAACTTCAAATGCTTCTCTATGCATTTGGCACTTCCCTGACCGTGAGGAATGCTCAGTAATTAAAAGGCACCCCAAGAATTCCATTTAGATGATGATTTCAATATCAGATATTACAAGACATCAGTGAGTTACACTGCTTGATAAGTTAGGAAGTCAGAGTTTCTAACTTCCAAATGTTCTTGTTCCTTACAAAGCAGAAAACAGTTTTTTTCTGCTTTTTTTTCCATTGGATTCTGCCAACTGGTTTTAGGTGAAAAATTAGCAAGGGGAGGGAGTGTTCATTATATACCAGACTCTGGGCAAGGCCCTTTATATATAAATATCTCACAGACAAGGTCAACACCAAGTGTGTGGCAGAGTTGGTCTCACTGGAGGAGACCTAATTCTGGAGCTTTGCTCAAACACAGCTAGAGTTTAGGGTAAACTTGGCTTGCTGGCCAATTAATGCCTTTTTTTTTTTTTTTTTTTTTTACCATCCTCTGCCAATAACTTCTTTCTAGAATCACTGAAAGACAGGGTTCTAGTTTGGCTCTGTCTTTTCTCAAGTCATTCTCCAGTCAAGACAACAGTGATAACATCTGCATGCATTTTAGTGCATTCCACATCTTTAGCCCTGGGTTAGACATTTTTCTACTGTGTCATGATTCAGTTCCAAGGAAACCGTTCAGAGTCTCAAACACATAGTTCCATTGAGGGTTGAGGTCACACAACTTGGAAATTATAAATTTTGTTCTATTTCTAAGCAAACCAATCTGGCAAACAAAAGGATCTTCAAATGGATCATCCAATCAAACATAGCAAAACCATCTCTTACAATAAGTCTCTTACCAAAGAAAGTGATTAAACTTCAAAAAAGCAATTCAACTTAACATTGAAAAGAAAATTCCTAAGTACTTCCTTGTCACATATTTTGTAAACTAAGGCACAGAGTCTGGTAATTATAATGGTGATTGTAGTCCACTCTGGTTTTTACCCCTGACTTTGTCAGATTTCTTTCTCATTAGACTTGAATGTGCCAATCAAGAAACTGTGCCTTCCTTTTTCATTTTTAATCAAATGAACACCACCGCAGTAAGATGGAAGTTACCTGGGGAATGTGCAACACAGGATAAAACATTCTTCAAAGAAAAGGTCATTACAATCATTTGCTATGTTTGGTTGGTTTATCCTGCTGTCAGATAGGTTTTTATCTATACACAGTAATTCAGTGTAGGTCTAAATGAAACCTTTTGTTTTTAACTTTTAAATTCATGACAGGGTGAGCCCAGTTCTCTTACTAGGAAAGCTCATCAAGACTGATGCAGTGGAAAATTTCACACTGACAGGAGCCTCTGTGTTATAAAATGCAAGGAATAGAATGCATCTCTGTGTGCCTAGAAATAGTCCTTTGAATGCTAAATTTTTTTCATTTAAGAAATAACATATACAAGTTACAAGGAGATGCCAGATGGCATTTCACTCATTGGGATTAGAAATAATCATTCAAACATATAAAAATCTTATCAGGAGTATTTTTCACGTTTATTTATATCAGAAGGATTAAAGAAGTTGTCTTACCTTGTACATAAGGACTGCTTATTAATTCATCTATATAACCTAGAAAGGCATTTACTATGTCTATAAAAAAATCACAAATTAAAATGTCACATCAGTTCATTCATTTGTGGCACACTCTCCCAATAATAATGTATTTTACTTTAAAAAAGATTTAATTTTTTTGGTTTGAACAAAAACATTCACTTTAATGATAGTACTTAATATTTTCCCACTGTAACCATGTAAGGTTTTTTGACTTAAATACTAATTTTTAAAGATACTTTATTCAAACTATTGTGTAACTATTCTTTTCTTTCAAAACCACACAATCAGCAACCACTGTATATAGTTTATATAACAAGCTAAACACATACCTAATTATCATTTATAGTGCAAAATTCCTAAAAAATTATTTCAACTAAAAGCATACAATATAAAGTGATTCCTGATTTTGTAATTAACATGAAATATTATTTCCCTATATCTCTTCCAATTGAATGCCAAACACACAATAGGCAATATCACCATCTCCGGTAAGTACCAATACTGCCATATAAGCAGAACGCCTATCTAGGTATTTTCCTATTCAACCTTATACTTTTCGATGCATCTTTTTTTTTTTCCCTCCAGATATAGTGTGTCGGAGCTGGAAGGAGCTCCAGAAGCCATCTAATTTGACCTACCCACTCCTTTTTCAAAATGTAGCTTTTAAAACATGAAGCAAAGTGTCTCAAACACTGGCAATGTGAAACTACTCACAAATAAACTTAAAGTTTGCATTCAAACTTTACCTTTGTAAAATCCCCAATGAATCTCCCACGGCGTTCTTCACTCTTTCCTTTCCAGGTTTCAAAATTTTTTCTTTGAAGGTATCAAATGCTTTAAAAGGCATTTTGAATAGGTATAGGAGGCCTCCAAGCACTAAGAGTCAAGTCTCAGAAACTGTCATGCTTTCTCATTTCCAGCATGGGAACCACTCTGCTTCCCTCGATGAACACCCTGAAGTCAGTTCTCATGGAGGTAACTACTTAAAATCAAAAAGGAGATGAAACCCAGCCCAGATCTTTCAAGAGGAGACAAACCACGCTCCCCCACCTCTCCCCACCTCAAAAGAGGCCAAGTAGTGTCTGACTGGGAATTCAGTCCCTTGAAAGCTACAAGCTCAGCAGCAGCCTGTGGCGCTGTCTCCGGCAGCCACTCTCAGGCTGAGCGCAGCCTCACTCCCTCCCTGGGGCTGCATCTGGAGAAGCTGAAGTGGGTTCCAGCCCACGAGGTGTCCTGAGACCAGCGACAGAAACTGCAGCCTTTCTCCAACCCCTCCTGCTGCCTCTGACCACATCCCCCTCCTGCCTCACTCAGCCTGTGACTCTCACAGAGTGATCCTTTCCAAGGTGATGCTATAGTAACCGGCACAATACCTGCCCCTCAGCCGCTGGGGATTATTAATGGGCTCTCAGCCAGAGCAGACACCCAGGGTGGAGTGTATGAAGAATTTACAAGTCCTCTGCTTCTCTGAGGTCTGGCCTTAGAGACAGGCTCTCAGCCACCACATGATGCCTTTTATGCCCCTCGTGGGAGCCATGAAACAGTTTTTCAGCCAGACACTAGTAGGGATGTGGTCCTCGGAGGGGTGCTTGCTCTCAAGGGGGCTAAATGCAAACATCTAGGAAGCATTTATTTGCTTCTAATCAACAGAGCAGGATCTCAAGGTGTGACGTTGGGACCAACTAACTGAAGGTATCTGAGCTGGTCCTAGTACCTGCTTAGGCTTCTTCACTGGTCCTCACTGTCCTCAGGAGAAATCCAGGTTCTTTATTATCTACCATGGCTCACAAAGTCCTCCTTGGGACCCCAGCCTTGTTTCCTTGTCACTCTGCTGTTCATTTCAGTATTTCACTGAATTCATTGAGCTCCATATAGCCTCTGGGTTTTGCTTAAGCTGAACCTTCTGCCTGGGTAGCTCTCCTCACCCTTCACCTGGGAAATGTCAGGGGATTCTTAAGTCTCACTGATATGTCTCTTCCTCTAGGGACCCTCATAGACAAGTCCTTCTTCCATGCCTCCAAATCACCCATCTTCTGCCCCACTAGGACCTAGTCCATAGTGGGATATAACCTAAAGAGTTGTTGAACTGGGGTTAAAATATCACATGCTGCTCCCACATTTATGGGCAGCAGGTGATGCCTCTGTATACGATGTTGTCATGAAGAAACAGCTTTCATCTGCATGTTTCCAGTGCTCCAGTCCCCCCAGCCTGCATGTGCCTGACAAATCCTGTGTTTTAGCCTCTCAGATTCCTCAAAAGTCATGTCCACAGGACCAGTAATTGCCAACTGCAAGCTGCAATACAATCCTTCCCCAAAGTTTCAATTAAGTTATCTAAATCAGAGCTGGATCCTTGGAAGGTTAAATACTACTATCAATAATAACTATTATTATTATTATTATGGTTAATATTTTATTGAGCCCTGTCTATGGTCCAAACTATGTTAAGCATTCTTCATGTACTATCATAATCTTTCCAACATTGCTTTGTGATTAGTACTTATTTTTCCCAATTTTACTAACAGGAAGCTGAGGCCAAGAGGTTAGACTGGTCAGGTTTTAGATCCAAACAGCTTGGCTCCAGCCATTCTCACCTGTCTCTCCATGTGTCACTCTCTCCTCCTCCATCACACCCTCCATCCACACTGCCTCCTCTGACTTTATTGAGGTATATTTTGCATATCCGAGAGTTCATCCATTTCAAGTGGACAATGATTTTTAACGAATTTACCAAGTTGTGCAACCATCACACGAAAGCACAAAGCAGAGAGAACATGTCTATCACCCCAAAAAGATGCCTTATATTCACTGTTAATCCCCATCTTCCACTCCACCCCCAGTCTCAAGGCAACCATTAATCTACTTTCTTCCTCTATAGATTTGTGTTTTCTGGACACTTCATATAAATGGAATCATACAACATACGATCTCCTGTGCCTGGCTTCTTTCACTTAGTATAATAATTTTGAGGTTTGTCCATGTCACAGCTCATATCAGTAGTTTGTTCCTTCTTTTTTTCTTTTCTGTGGAATATTTCACTATATGGACTTACCACATGATGTCTATCCATCGACCTGTTGATGAACATTTAGGTTGTTTCCAATTTCTGAGTATTAGGCATAAAACTGTTAAGAATATACCCATGCAAGTCTTTGCATGGACATCTTTTCCTTTCTCCTGGGCAAATACATAAGAGTGAAATTGCTGGGTCATATGGTAAGTATATGTTTAACTTTTTAAGAAACTGCCAAATTATTTTCCAAAGTCACTGCATTATTTATTCCCACCAGTATGTATGAGGTCTCCCATTTCTGCACATCCTCACCATTATTTGCTGTCTTTTTTAGTATAACCATTCTAGTAGGTATGAAATGGTATCTCACTGTGGTTTTAATTTGCATTTCCCTGATGACTAATGACATTGACCACTTTTCATACACATTTTGTCCATTTGCATATCTTTTTTGGTGAAATTTCTATTCAAATATTTTAACCATTTTTATTTATTTATTTTTTTACAAATAGTTTATTGTCAAGTTGGTTTCCATATAACACCCAGTGCTCATCCCCTCAAGTGCTCCTCTCCATGCCCATCTCCCCCCTCCCCCCCCACACCCATGAGTCCTCAGTTTGTTCTCAGCATTCAAGAGTCTCTCATGGTTTGCCTCTCTCCCTTTCCCCCACCATTTCCCCCCTTCTTCTCCCCAATGGTCCTCCGTATTTTAACCATTTTTAAATGAGATTTTTGTCTTATTATTGATGGGTATATATTTTCAATCTGTTTTCAGATTGTTTTACAAATATTTTCTCAGTCTGCCATTTGTTTTTTCATTTTCTTCATGCTGTTTTCGAAGGATAAAAATGTTTAATTTTGATGAAGTCCAATTTATCTATTTTTCTCTTTTATAGACTGCTTTTGTTCATATATCTAAGTAATCTTTGACTAGCCTGAGGTCTTAAGATTTTTCTCATATTTTTTCCTCTATAAGTTTTACTGTTTCAGCTCTTACATTTAAGTGTATGATCCATTTTGAGTTCATTTTAATATAATGGTTTGAGGCGAACATCTAAGTTCATCATCTTCCATGTGGATACCTAGTTGTCTAAGCACCATTTGTTCAGAAAGGCTAAACTGGATTAATTGCTATTGTTGGCACCTTTGAAAAAAAAATCAGGTGAATATAAAGATTTATTTCTGGACTCTCAATTCTTTTCTATTGATCTTCATGTCTATCCTTGTGCCAGTATCACCCTGTCCTACCTCTAGCTTAATATAGTATGACAAAAATTCCTGTCAGCCCATGATTTTATAAGGATAGTTCCTGGCCACCAATCTTGCCACCTACAAACCCTCAAGCTAAAACCCCAGGACATCACACATCTAATTACTCCACCACCAAAATCTTTACCCATTTCCAAAAATAAGCTCACTCATTCATCAAAAGCAAATACAATCAAAATATAATATACCCTCTTGCTATGGAAAGCATTCACTGGTAGAGTTTCTAACCTTCCTCAGTTACTGATCTCTTAAGTTACTTATCTCTTGGAGCACACATTGGATGCACTACTAGGCAAAGACCACTTGACTCTCTTTCTTAAGGGTCAAGTTTTTATTTAAATTCAAGTTACTCAACATATAGGATTGGTTCCAGGAGTACAATTTAGTGATTCATCATTGACATATTTAACACTCAATGCTCATCACAGTAAGTGCCCTGCTTAATGCCCATCACCCATTTAGTCCATCCCCCATACACCTCCCCTCCAGCAACCCTCAGTTTGTTCTCTACAGTTAAGAGTTTCTTGTAGCAACATGGGTGGAACTTGAGGGTGTTATGCTGAGTGAAACAAGTCAGACAGAGAAAGACAGATATACCATATGTTTTCACGTATATACAGGTGGATTAGGAGAAACTTAACAGAGGACCATGGGGGAGTAGAAGGGGAAAAATAGTTGGGGAGACGGAGGGAGGCAAACCATGAGAGACTCTTGAATACTGAGAACAAACTGAGGGCTGATGGGGGTGGGGGAGAGGGAAGGGGGTGATGGGCATGGAGGAGGGCACTTGTTGGAATGAGCACTGGGTGTTATATGGAAACCAACTTGACAACAAACTATGAAAGAAAAGTTAAAAATTAAAAAAAAAAGTTTCTTATGGTTTGCCTCTCTCTCTGTTTTTATCTTTTTTATTTTTCCTTCCCTTCCACTACGTTCACCTGTTTTGTTTCTTAAATTCCACATATGGTATTTGTCTTTCTCTGACTGATTTTGCTTAGCATAATACAGTCTAGTTCCATCATGTCATTAAAAATGGCCAAGATTTCATTCTTTTTGATGACTAATATTCCAGTGTGTGTGTGTGTGTGTGTGTGTATACATATGTATACACATTTTCTTTATCCATTCATCAACTGATGAACATTTGGGTTTTTTCCATAATTTGGCTATTGTTGATGGTGTTGCTGTAAACATTGGGGTCCATGTGCCCCTTCAAATCAGTATTTTTGTATCCTTTGGATAAATACCTTGTAGTACAATTTCTGGGTTGTAGGGTAGTTCTACTTTTAGCTTTTTGAGGAACCCCATACTGTTTTCCAGAGTGGCTGCACCAGTTTGCATTCCCACCAACAGTGTAAGAGTGTTCCCCTTGCTCATGAAACACACATGTACAAAAGTTTCTTAGTGGTGATTTAGATAGTTGATAATGGTAATAACATTTGTGAAGTAATTTCTAGGTGTCAGACTTTAAGCACTCAACTCATTTAACCCTCACAATGACATTCCAAGGTAGGCACCATCATTATATCATCTACAGATGAGTAAACTGAGACACAGAGAAGTTA